TGTTGATTCCTAAGGCCGCTTGTATATTTACTGGTGGGAACCATTGTGAGCGAGGCGGGATTAGTATACATGAAAGATGCATAGCTCGTTGGTTGTTAGATGAAAGAGCTAGACACGAGGTATTGCGTTCAATTCCCACGATGTTGACTTATTTTGATCCGATTATTTTTTCGCGGTCTCTATGAAAGCCCATAGAAGGCCCATCAACGTATGAGTACCTGGCCTAGATGGCTTGCCGTGTGTACCAGCGAACCGTATGAAACTTTACCATGTGCTCAAACCAAACGAAAATCAATGAAAAGGACCAAACCAAATAGAGAATACATATTTCCTTTAATAGTAGGTATATAATAAACTGTGAGGGAAGGGAAGGAGGAGGGCAACTTCCTCGGAAAAGTTGCTCGCTTTGCATCAGCATCTGTGCTAAATGGACGCTTTACATACCCTACCAGCATGAATCTCAGCGAAGTCCAATCCGATAGCACGAATATTCTCAACTGGCGCCGAAAGCAGAGAAGGCTTGCTTTCGGAACAACAAAAGAGATATATATAGAGAGAAAGAAGACACAACTTCTCGGACATTAGGACAGAACGGAACCCGCCTGCAGCTTTCTCTAACGATTGCACAATCTGAATCTGGCTTTTTATTTTTACTAGTTGACCCGTTGCACCAAATGGCGCAGAGACCCACTAAACCCATGTTCGCGATGAAAATAGTTTCCTTCAGTAAGGACAACCGATGTATATATTGTAATTTGGTAGTAGAAAATCATATCTTGATCCATATGCGAAACAAAACATGGTTTAGTCGATTTCATTGTGGGCAAGCACATATGTTCCCAGCCTGGTCCTTGCTTTGGAAAGAGAAGCAAAAAAAGGACTATGCAATAGACACACCAAACACAAGGCAATGCAAAATATTCACTGATTTTACTCATATTTTTCGACGACGCATCAAAACTGGCCCTAAACATTATATTATTTAACGATAATGAAAAGAACTTCTTAAGGCAGTCACTCACAGGTTATGATTCTACCACCTACCATTTTTACACTCTGTAAAATGACCATGTCAGTACTGATTTTATATGAAGCTACAAAGAGATAAAAATAATAGCGACATTGATGAAAACTAAAATCACTATACACACACACACACACACACACACATATATATAGGTAAATTATATGGGACACCTAGGTGCCTGGGCACCTAGATGGCCGTTATAGTAAGTGATATTCATGGTGCATGATGGACAATCCACGACATATGACTTTCCAATGCACTATCAGTTCTAATAGGCAATTATTGCTTTCCAAAAATAATATTCTAGTACTTTCCTAGCAATGATTCCTTTCCAAAATAAAAGGGTGTGTATATACACTCTGATTTTTTAAGGTATCAAATATGACAAAATAATACGAAATATCGTCGCAAATGTTTGTATGTATAATTACGACGTATATTATGCATTCTTCTGGTGTTTTACTTTTCAAGGTATCTAGTATTAAAAAATTTAGGGTCGGGTCACACTTTTTGGCGACTAATATTTTTTTTCAAAAATAAAGTCACCAAATAATATTAAATGTAATCCTAATTATTTTTTACTTTTACAAATATATATGATGCATGCTAATACCCACACGTGATTTTTAGTACATACATGGACCTAACATATCATACCCGCATACCCTTTTTCAATACATGCATGCTTTGAAGATACACGCAAAACTAATGTACTTTGAATGGTACATAACCCAAAAAATGATACACCATTTTTTAATACACGTAAAATATTTTAAGACATACTCGTAAATGATATTAGAGATATACCCAGAAATAGTACAATTTACATATACGGCAGATATTGATTAGGTATATGAAAAAGTTAGTACGTGACTAGGTATATGATTTTTATAGGTATATAAATTAGTACGTGACTAGGTATATGAATTAGTACGCGACTAGGTATATGATTTTTATAGGTATATAAATTAGTACGTGACTAGGTATATGATTTTTATAGATATATAAATTAGTACGTGATGAAGTATATGAGTTTTTATAAGTATATGAATTAGTACGTGAATTTTTATAGGTATATGAATTAGTACGTGACAGGGTATGTACAAAAAAAATATAACCATCAATTAAATATGCGTAGCATGCATGAACCATTAATTGCTGATTTTCTCTTTCTTGTTTAGTGAGGGTATTAAGTGTCCAGAACGAGCAATAATTCTTTCCTAATTAAAGAGTCAAAGTTTAACCAATTTGTTCTAGTACTAATACAATTGCACACATCTTAATGTAATCCGACGGTTTCCAGGCAAGGTGCCTGGGCACCTAGGTGTCCCAAATGGCCATCATGTATATATATATATATATATATATATATATATATATATATATATATATATATATATATATATATATATATATATATATATATAACTTGGTGTCACACCTTCCTTCTTACATGTTTTGTGAAATCATTTTAGGATTGCAAGGAACAATTTTGCAAAGAACAACATTGCAAGTAAATCACGAAGAGTTACTGAGAAGCTACCTAGCCTGTACCATGGAATCTCTTTCGTCGGCACACTCAACCAAGAGCACCATTACACAGAACAAAGAGGTGTAGGAAAAATAGTTTGTTTCATGTATTGTAAACGATATTGCCATTTTCCAACTAATAAATTCATTTCCTAAAAAGATGCAGGAAAAAGAGGAACAACAAATTATCAAACCACCTCAACGCATAGACCTGCCCAGGTGGCTCACCTCAACAAACTCCCGGAAAAGCATGTTGGGTTCATGATGCCAGGCACCCTCTCAACATTGTCGCCTAGTTAGATATAGCACGCCACTGAGGGTGTCCTCTTCCTCTTCCCCCTCTCTTCTTCCTCACTACATGTAATCCACAATCCGACTCCCCAGATCCTAAACAAAGTACCAGTGGTATCTTTAGTGTCTGAAGTGGAGAACCATCAAGGGACACTGTAAAAAAATCATTTGCACATACCAAGGTGCAGCTACTAATTTCCCTTCCAACCATATGAACCTTTGCCATACAAAAGATTATTATGCAAATCTATACTTATATGAACCTAGCTATGTATTCATTATACATTATCTCGTAGAACATTTTAGAACTACTGAAATAGCAGTTGATGGTAAGGAAACACCATTAGATTTTTTTAGAAAATAATCTCCCGCCGCTAATTTCTTTGGGCGATTACTAACATACCCAGCGTCCATGTGCACAGGAATTATGTAGACAGGTCCCCCAGGGCATGCTCACAGTCTATTCTATGATCTACCGATAGCTTAACTGTGCAAGAATTATTAGGGCAGTCTATTCTATGCGATTCAGTCAAGGTGTTGGTATCAATTTCAATAACAGCGATAATACATGTGTGTGCCATATCCACTGGGAAATGAACTGAACTACTCGGCCCCCAGTATTTCATACCAAAAATCAGTAGAAACTAAAAAGAATAAATTTTAATTAGTTTTGGTAGAAACATAGTTCACATTAATTTTAATTAAGTGGAGCAGGGGGATTTCCTCAATGAGATGGGCCAGTGTGTTCAGATGCAAGCAATTGTGATCAGCAGAAAAAGCTAAATTGTCATGATGCCGATGACATAGATCAATTGAATAAGTGCTCGCAAATGAAATGACAGTGAAGGGGATATGAATCTTGACTCTGGACTGAACAAAGTAAATGGGATAAGATCACCTTGCCGCAGAGAAGACGAATGCCCAACTTCAAGAAAAACGGCGAGTACGCCTTGCAAAATCTACAAGGGAAATCTTAATTCAGGCATGGTAGCACCTGAACATAGCAAGACATCCGGATGTCTAAAATTCACCTCACCCACTAGAATCACCCTCGCCTCAATGAAAGATTTTTTTTGCATGACTCAATGAAAGAAATATAGCCCAGTTCGACCCTGAATATGAAGCAAAAAGACATAATAAGACACGCTGAACCTGCAATGAATGGATGAATTGTTTGAACCTACAATGGATAGCTCATGTCCATCCATCCGTATGCTACTTTTTCATCAAAAACTCAATTCCAAAGATCTTCTGCTGGAAATATAACTTTATATTAGTCAGCTGAAACAACACCTTGACTATCCAAGGGGTTTCCTAATACGCAACATCTCTCAGAACATTTGAGGAACAAATCGAGGGAAATAATTCAACTTCACTAACAATGTAGAAATTAACTTCAGTGTACTAACATAATTATTTTGGAAATAAGCAATCAACCATGAATTAAACATGAGAGAAATCCAACCATTTTAAGAAAAGAAAAAAGAGCCCAATAGCAAGATAGCACAACGTGGAGCTGTATCGACCAGTCTCTTTTAAAGAAAGGCTTTAGGAAATATAAAATCCTTTCCTACAAATCATTACAGCGCCTCCGACCAAAGCGAATGGGATTTTTATACCAAGGTGATTCAGTTCACTTACCAAATAATGAACATATATACTTCTCCACATTTAGTTTTGTATGTAATACAAAAGCTAGTGCCACATGATTTTTTTTGGATCACAGAAACCCGGCCTGAATACATCTGAATCATATAATCAATTTGTTAAAATGCTTGGAAGGCACATGAAAAACACATGAGTAAAAAATAATATATGATTGGTATCTGTATTTGATCCACCTGGGTACATGTACATCCTAAAAGAAACAAACAAGATGCCATGCTACCTGATGTGCAGCTTATCACATGATACACAGAACTTCACAAATCATCAGAACATCAAGTATTAAAATGCATGAGCAAGCAGATAAACCTACTCAAGAACTTGTTTCCCAAATTACTTACAACACACTGACCACAATATAAAGCCGGTAATTGTACTGATCCGCACCACTACATCATTGTAATTTGTTCAAACCAGCACCTAAATTCCACACACTGCCTCACTATATGCAGGTGAAAAGGCACAAACCAGAAAGCGACTAAACAAGCTATAACAAGATTGGCATACCTAGCTTGGACCTTGTATGCAGAGCTAGGGAAATGAGAAAGTTGGAGGCAGTGTTATTGTGGAAATCGGCATAGACCTGAAAAGTAGTAATCCAACCAATTAGATAAAAGACCCTGATTTGAGTATACCTGCACTCAAACCTTTCATTAACAATGGTTTTGTTGTTGGTCTGCACCATATGAACCCAAAGTAAGCTTTCCTTTTACTTTTGTTTTTTCATGCAAATGTGTAACAGCGAGCGGGTCTGAAAAGAGAGATAGTTCAGAGGAAAGAGAGGGCACGGAGGGGAAGGACATTACCTGTGAGTGGAGGTGAGTCGCAGGTTTCCTCCAGTACGGAGGGGCTCTGGCCGACCTCGCGGTGCACGTTGCCGTCGGCGTGCTCCTATGCATACCTCTTGTGCCCGTGCGGGCGCGTTCCGAGCCGTCGAGCACGCCATCCTGAAACGCATGCGGGGAGGCCACGCCCATCTTATCGGACTTTGCACACCATGCGTGTTGCCGTTGCCGCCGACGCCATCTGCTCGCGGTCGCATGTCCCCGCTTCCGCACACATGCTGCTATGCGGAGAAAGGTGGATGTAGAGGCGGCGGCGGCGCACAAGACGCCGCGGAGGCGAGCCGATCCGCCTCCCTGGCTGCCGCGGAGGCGAGCCGATCTGCCTCCCTGCCTGGCATCCGCGCCTCTCCTCCTTCTCCGGCCGGCGATGCCCGGTTGAGCTCCTCCTTTCGTGGCTTCCTCGCGAGCTGGGGTGGATAAGGACCTCGGGAGACGGTGGATCTCATCGAAAGAGGCGGCAGAGCTCCTAGGGCTGCAGGGGGAGGGGGAAGGGAGGACCGGAGAAGGGAGGTGGCGCGGCGGCTGTATTGACGAGGAACTGAGGAGAGAGGGTTGTGGGGCACCCACACTACACGCTCCTGCTGCCATAGACGTGACGCAGCATGGCGTAGTAGCCAGGCAGAGCACGACGCAGGAGTCAGCCCCACAGCTCTCTTCAACACCAGACAAACCGACGACGCGACGACCCTGGAAAGACGCGTGCAGCCGGCGTGCGGGGCCAGGGGCAGCACCGGCCCACCCGTCATCGCGACAGACCAAACGCGGGTGCAAAAGCCGGGTGCACACGCATCGGCCACCCCTCCGCAGTTGTTCCCGCAACGCACGATGCGCGCAATGCATAGGGAACGCCCGCCAAAAGTGGTTGATAGGAGAAACTAAGGGCATGTACAATGGAGGCAGCACTTTGGTGCTGCCTCAGCCCATCCACATAGATCAGTCAATCTGAGACCACCGTATGAAATAACTTTCATGGAATGCTGCAGCCTACTTTGGGACCCATCCTCTCTCTTTTCTTTCCTTACTTATCAATTTCTCTCTCATACTTTCCTCCAAAACTAGATGATATGCTGCCTCACACACACACCACCCACCATCGTAGCAGCTTTTGTCAGTAAGGAGGCAGCCTCCTCTGTAGGAACCCGCTTTACTCTGCGCACAACCTTTTCAATCATCCTGGACCATCCGAGCCGAGGTGGATAGCTGGAGCTACTGTCCAGCGTGTAGCATTGGCCATGCCCTAAGGTCCTGTTTGGTTCCAAATAAGTCACCAACTTATAAGTCGAAAAGTGTAAAAAGTGACTTATTTTGCCAAACGGACCCAACTTATAAGTCACCTCAACTTATAAGTCATAAGTTGCTCCAACCCAACTTAAAATTATAAATCACCCCTTTTGCATGGGTCCCATCACCTTTACATAAAAAACAAAATAGAAAGATATGCTCAGGTGACTTATAAGTCAGGTGGTAACCAAACAGGCGTGACTTATAAGTCACTGATTTTAAGTCACCTGACTTATAAGTCAGGTGACTTATTGGAACCAAACAGACCCTAACCCACACTGCGAGACATGCAGCTAATGCAGCTGACGCGCGGGAACAGAGACATCATTGGCCATCCGTCATCGACGCAGCACAGGCGCAGGTGCAGAAAACTGGGTGCATATGCGCCCGCCGACCCCTCCACGGCGCCACGTGATGCACGACCTGGGATAGAGCGGGGCGCAGAGCCCAAGACGCGGGCGACGCGCACATGCGGCGCGGCAGGAGAGGCTGCGCGCGCACCCAAAAAAGGGCTACCCAGCCAATCCGATTCTACATGAGCCCACAGGTAATTGCCTGCTCAAAATTGACCGCGCAGTGAAAACAACAATGGTTGATTTCCAGCGACAACCCAACGACACGCAGCGAATAAAAGACCACTCTGACCATGGATGGGAATGCTGCAAATCGAGGGACAACCAGGGAGGCGAGTTGCCCAGCCACCTTATAGGTTTAAATATAGTTAGCTTTTAAATCCGTTTGAAGGCCAAGCTCCATGAAGGCGGTTTTTAGAAAGTCCAAAACTTGAGTTTTCACCTACATAACTTCTGTGGCCTGCAATAAGCCGCTAATGAGAATTTCTGTCAATTACTTACAAAAGGCTGATATTGTGTCGAAGCAAATTCAACCTGATATTTTCATGGAATGAGTGGTTGCCAAACCTAGAGTGACAATAATCACAATACATTATCGCTGAAACTTGATATCGAAGAGATTTAGGGGTTGTTTGGTTCTAGGCCAAGCATTGTCACATTTTGCCAAGCTTATCTACGGTTAATTCATTCATCAAAATGAAAGTCACAAGTTGATCAAAATGAAAGCCACTAGTTGGCAAGCCTAATAAAATATTGCCACACTTTTTATGTGTATGTCATATAGGACCCAAATGTGACTTGAACCGAACATTCATCTAAGGGTCAAACTTGCCTAACTTTAGGTGTGACAATCTTTGCTAAAGTAAATCACAAACCAAACAACCCCTTAGAGCAACTCCAACGGGGCGACCCATTTCGTCCGCGGACGTCCGTTTGGGTCGGCGCGGACAAAAAAGTCGGCCCAACGCGCCGTCCCAAACGGACGCGCGCCCGCTTTTCATTCGCCTGCCTACCCATTCCCGGCCTATTTTGTAGCCCGATTTGCGTCGGCGAGGACACGAAACGGACGCGCGCGCTCGTCTTGTCCTCCCCCCGGGCCCGCTGATCGGTGGCAGCCTCCACCATTTCCCTCCACCCCCCTCCCAAAAAAAACCCTTCCGCCCACAGGCGCTCCCGCCCCCTACCATGGAAGACGACCTCGACGCCGCCGCCGCCGGCCTCGCCTCC